CTATATATATATATATCTCCAATAATTCTCTCCAGAATTCCTTAATTACTTTTCGGAGAGAACCTTATTAGGGGAGTAGGTATCCCCCCTAGGATACTTTGCTCTATATTTGCGGTTACCATAAAAAATCGGAATTTATCTGCACCTTCCAGCAATAGTTGGGGGTCTCTGGTTTCTGTGCCTGTGCCTGTGTCGCAGCATTAAGTTCAATTTGAGCTACTAGATCAGAATTTATGACATTGACGAAACGATAAAACTGTTAGCCACTGTCCGGCGACATAACATAAATGTGCATTACACACAGGGGCTGGCCAGCCATCCAGCCAGCCATCCAGCCACCCATCCAGCCACCCAAAAAGGTACAGGACATGACGGCGGTCCAGTAGCAATATAACTGACCAGGAGAAACGGAGAAAATGAAATGCGACGGGATGCTATGGCGAAAGCCTAAAACTATTAATTTCAACCTTACACGAGGGCGGTGGCAAATGGAGAAATCTATATTTACGATTATTGAAGTTTATGACGAAACGTTTTCGTATCATTCTGCGTCGTCACATAAAGACGGAGTGCCAACCACGACGACGACTAGGACGAAGATGTCCTGCGACACACGCCAGGATTTGGGGGGTTGGGGATTCATAAATGTTTTTGCACGCAAGCTGCTAATAACATTCCAGGGACTGGGACTCCACTGTGCACTGTAAGAAATCCAAGGGTCCTAAAGGCAATCAGAGATTATAGACCTTGTCATTCGATTTGCCGATTTCTTGCCGTGTCCACCCACACAGTACAGGTGGTACAGCCTCCAGATACAGATACAAAGATACAAAGATACAGATATAGCTACTGTTACGGTTACCGCTTTGGTTATTGCGGGATAGTTTTTCGGATAGGGGTTGCTGGCCTTCCGAACCTTCCGATGATGGCCGCAAAAGTGCAGCACGCTCGTAAAACCAATGGCCAAATAGCCAGAGGCCAAATGCCGGGTAAGAATGTTGTGTAATTACGTTGCGTTACGCACAGATAGATGAACGGATGGGAGGACGGGAGGACGAGATGGCCAGGAATGGTCCACCACCCCTCGATAATAGCCTCCCAAAGCTGTTTGGACCGCTGTCAGTTGGAGAAATCATAATTAGGCCTTCGGATCTGTACATCTTTATCTTGGTATATGTTCGTGTGCCCCGCCACCGAGTCCTTTTTATTGTTTTAATGAACACACGAGTACAATTTCAGTGTCCAGGAACTGTGGGCCTGGCAATTATTGAGGTCCTGCCGATATGAAACAATTCCAGCTTCCAAATTGGTTTTTTTTTTTTCGGTTTCCAATAAGGGCTGGCAATGGGTTGTAAGACACACTTGTCAGGGCGTCCGTCCTCCTGGGTGGCGCTTGATGTGTAAATGTAATCAGACACTTGCCGCGCCAATTAAAAGCCCCCCCATCCTCAGTCAAACCACAACCCAAATCCCCCACTGATCCGGTGAGAGTACCGCAAAAACAATCCAGATATAGCATTTAAGCAAAATCGCTTTAAAATCAATTAACCGTAAAATCACTCGCTATTTGCAACAACAATCGGTAGCCGTATCCGTGTCCGTGTCCGTGGCCGTGTCAGTGGCCGTGTCCGCGGAGTCAAGTCCCGCAGGCGCCGGCAAAATGGACAACAATCAACAAATGCGGTGGCAATAACATTAGCTATCGTACACCCACATGACCGTAGATGCTGTATCCACACAACCCTCCATACATATATATCCCATGCAACGGGCTTGTTTTAACCCTTCGTGGCGTTTGGACACAGACTGCGGATGCTGCACTTGACCCCGCTCCTTGGAACGCGTGGACGTGCCGCCAGGTATTAACCTCCATTTAATGTTAAACAAAGCCGCGGCAGGACGAAAGGAAAAAAAAAATACATAAATGTGTGCATTCCACGCCCTCCCCCACCCCCCCTTACAGCCAGTCATTTAGCCGCCAAACATTTCGATTAACATACGCAAACACGGGGGCCAAAAGAGAGTTGGGGGCATCTGACGAAAAAAAACCCATGGTGTGGCATGGAAAATGCAAAAAGTGGGTGTATAGAAAGCCGGCAACGGCAAATTGAATTGCTGGCAAACAAGCGGCTCCCGGAGGAAGTGGCCTGGACTTTAAAAGGGGGGAGCCCTGGACACTGACACTAGAATGGAGCTGGACTGGCATGGGTCCACTCCACAGTTGGGAGTCATCATCAGTGGCTTCATGGCCATCCGAAACGCTTTAAACAAAACGGACTAATTAAGGGCACGTTGTTCGTGTTGGTCCACGAGGAGGAGGTCAGAGTTCGCGGACAGGTGTCTAGGTGTGAACTTCCAGGGGTACATAGTCTAGAATTCGATTGCTAGGAGGTTATTCCTACCATCCGTACTTAAGACGCTTTGATGTATGTATGTCTCTGGGTGGCAACGTTTTTGTCTCATGCCTCATGCCTTATGCCCCATCCATACGCACCACAATCCCATATGTGTGGAATACTTTGCCACAATACCGTCTTGGCAAATCCGTCTTTGAATAATGATGCCGTTGATAGCTGGGATTACTCCGCTGCGAGCCATCCCCGACTGCACCGCTGCGGCAGGCCATTTATTTATTATGCCACAATATTCAATGACCCTTAATGGCATTTCGTAATAAAAATATTGGATTAGTCTGTTAGTTTTTGCGCCATCCACCACCACCGAACCACCCACCCACTGGACTGGCCACTACTCGTCACTTTATCAACTGGCCCATTCGCATTACATATTCCATTAAACGTCTAATGAGCCCATTGTGCTGCTGGTTCGGGAGTGGCATCAGTAGCTCGGTAGATCAAAGAAACTGGTCCTGGGAAGGTCCCTTCACTGCACTTTTCAGATCGATCCGAAGAAGTAGGAACTGACTTCTTGGTTGGAGGGCCTGAAGATTTGCAGCTAAGTTGTACTCCTGCCGCCGATTTCCTGACATATTCATGCCAGAACCCTACTAGAATATTAAAGCCCCAAAACTACTTCTCCGGAGTTCCTCCTGAAACCGGATCCAGGGTACGGGCACGAGGCCCGAGTCAAAGTCGATGTTCGGACCGGGCATGCATGTGACATAATAAATATTAATGACGACTGACCGGCACGGAGATCTCATCCTCCCCCCCCCCATCCTCATCCAGGGGCGGATGATGGCCATGGGTGGTAAGGTGGTGGGAGCTTCACAGGCAGCTGCTGCTGCTACTGCTTCCAGTGCAGGTGAAGAAATTCTGGCGACCAAAAACAGGACTAACTAGAAACAAAGGATGAGCCAGTTTCGAAGGCGAATCCTTCTCAGCATCCAAGCTGCCATATACTTTTCTCCCAGTGCTCCCTTCAACGGTGACACACATTCGACATGTGACGGATAAATTATGGCAATTGGACGAATGCCGCCACACCTCCGACCTCCGACCTCCTTAACCCTCTGTGGCCCGTGCCCATGAGATCATTTTTCATTTTTCCTCACCCCCCCCACCACGTTTATTTGCTTTCAGGATTCGGGGTGACATGTGCGAGCTGTCCATTCGGAGAAGGTCCTGGCTAATAGTTTCTTTCTTTTCTGAAAGCGAGATGAGCTCACTATCGATAAAAGCCTCTCGCACTCGGACATCGAGATATTCAAAATTGGCCCCCGGTTTGGTAGTAGTTCGTTCGGTGGGTGGTTTCCGCCCCCCTGTCGACGGGGCGCACCCCATCCCTTGTGTCATTAGAACACCGAGTCCTGCGTGTTGACTTTCATTAGAGGCGACGTGAAAGCCACGGCTCGGGGTCATTTTCGGGCCAATTTTTCAACCTACACGAGATAAATGCGAGGTCATCAATATGCGGACGAGGCAGATCCAGGTGGGCCTCTAATGTGATGAGCGGCGGTCTACACTGAACGAAACTATCTACTCCACTTCTATCTACTCCTACTCCAGATAATAAATACAGATCCTGTTGCAAAGCTCGGTTGCTAGACGCGCTTTTATTAAAGATATTGAAGAAATCAATGAAGGACACATTGTGGCGGGGCTTAGAGGTCCACGCAATGAAGGGCCATTGTTGCCCCACAAAGGCCCACAAAGGCTTTTGGTACGCGGCTGCTGCTGCTTGTAATCTTGTTTTTCTTCGAGTGCCTAACAACCAATAATGTGAAAATAAAATGGCAATACAAAGGCGGCCCAGATTTATTTACAGGCGGCGGGCTTAAAGCCAATTTCAAAAGGCAGCCCGCCAGAAACCCCAAACAAGCGGCGGACAAACAAAACAGAAGGCCTATGCCCATGCCCATGCCTGTGCTACCACCCCCACAAACCGAATTGGGAGAGTGGGAGGGTAATACGCGTGTATAAAAGAATCAAAAATCTAGATTTTGATTTCAGATACTTCAGCGTCAGAGTCAGAGCGTTAGAGGCAGGGGGGATTTTCTGTTTTTTTTTTATTTTTATTTCACCCTCTAAGGGGTCACTCAGAGGGGCAGGCAAGTCAAGTGGCGCTTAGCATCCGAATCGGAATCCGAGGCCAGAGACAGGAGTAAGAAGACAGGAGTCCTTAGCAGGGCTTCCTATGAATTCCACTTCAATGAATTGAAAAATTGCCTTGAACAAATTTGATGCGCCGCTGCTACAGCTGCTGCTTTGCATTTCTACAGTGTATCTACGCACTCGTTCCGTCTCTGAGATACACGAGCTACTCCCAGATACAAGATACCAGGGGATACCAGGGGTTGGGTGGCTGCTAGCTCGACGTTTGACATTTGATAATGTCATTTGCCGCGTAATTGTTTTTTGATTTGATGCCCAGACCTCTTCCCCCCCCGACATCTGGCTGTGAAAGTAAAAAAAAAAGACTCCTCCTCTGGGTGCCACGAATATACATAGTTTATTCATTAAATACATGAAATTTAATCGATAGCCACTGCCATCAAATATAGAGTGCCAAGTAAAAATATGAAAATATATCGAAATATATATATATATATATATAGTCATCTCAATAGGGAGCTGCAACGAGACAAAAAATAAAAGACATTAGACTCGGGTAGATGGAGTTTAGGGGGTATAACTACTACCAAGATGGTTCCTACTGGTACCAATCACATCGCAACTTGCCGTCTTCATCGATATCACACTTTCTTATATAATTCACCTCAACAATCAACAGCTCCTTGAAGTTCTTGGTGAGTGAAACCATTGTGGGATGGTCGATGGCCAGATAGCACTCCGGGTGACTGTTGACGAGATCCTCGAGACCTTTGAACCGCGACAGGTGCACAAGCTTGACCCGATGGTTGCCCTTGACATTCCGATCGGAACAGTAGAGATACAGCTCACATAACATATCCGGGTGTACACCGTTCTCGTTGCAGGCCACCCAGAATATATGGAGCAGCAACTCCGAATCTGTGGTCTCGTCCTCGTCCTCCTTTTTCTTTCGATTTTCAACTTTCTTCGATATCGACACCGGGGAGTACATCAGCAAATGGGGAACGTGCCCCGCAAAGTACAAATAGGGCGGAGGGAGCTCCGCGTTGATGATCCGCTCCGGCAATGGGATCTCACTCTTACCTTTCGGCATCATGGCCATGATGCAGAGGCAGTATAGGTGTTCGGGCGGGTACAGGGGAGAATGAATAAAAAAAGCCAACCGATCCCTTGCCCAGATCTCCTCGATGCGGCGACAGTGGTCGCTTAAGAAGTGTGCCATCAGCGTGGTAGAGACCAGCTCCATTTTGCAGCCCCTAATTGGACAGAGAAAGATCTTCTTGTTGTCCATGCGTTCCGAAGTATAGCGCCTGATGCTCCCCGGGCAAGGATTGAAGGTCAGGTGGTCCGGCCGTGGCAGAATCCCACGCTCGTAGAACTCCTGGACCTCGTGCAGGTTCGGGATCTGCATCGTCATCATGCCATCTTTGAAGGTATCGGCTCGTTCCGCCGCGTATCCCATGACGTGATCGTTGATGGCATGCACCCGACCCTCGTGCTTCAGGCTCCACGTCAGCAGCTCGGTACAGTCGAGTTCGTTCCAGATGGGGCGGTGTCCGCGCTCTTTGAAGTACGTCTCCGTTAAAAATACGGTGAACCGGCTACGCATCAGGAATCTGTCCTCCATGGGAAGAATCGTATCGATAGCTCTATTGTACAAAACCTTAAAGTATGTCACCACCATATAATAGGCTTTCACGTCCGTCAGAATAACCCTTTTCCCTCCCGGCTGGTTCGTCTTCTCGATAAACTTCAGCACCAGCTTATCCAGCGTCTTGTTCGACAAAGTATCGAGCTCATCGTACGATTGCTCATGCAGCAAATAATGAATGACAAGGAATCCTTCATTCACGAACCATTGAAAGTGGGGACCATCCGTGATGAGGCGCGACCGGTAGAAGTGCTCCATGTAGTGCCGAACCCGCCCGTGGTTCACCACCTTTAGGCCAGGCGGTTCCATCTGCCCCACACACAGGAGCGCCCACAGCGAGAATTCGTCCAGCTGGAAATGGGCTCGGAAGTCTCCCGCTTTCGGTATCTCAACTGGCTTACACATGTCTGGATCCAATTTATGGATAACCTCATTGCCACGCCAATCCCGTTCGACCCGGCGTTGCCACCTCAAGCCCGTTGAGGAGTAGATATCCGGCACAAAGTTGCCGCGCCCGAGGCTCAACGACACTGGCAGTCTGCATTCTGGATCAAACTCGTTTTCGGAATATCCCATGAAAAGCACGCCATCGACATAGCTTTCTTCTTCCTCGAAGTATTCACTTTCCTCAGTCATCTCCTTTGGATCCAATGCAAGTTTCTCGTCCTGATCCTGATCGCCCGAGCGAAATTCTAGCTTGGGAAGAACAGCTGCCTCCAGAGGATCCTCGGGCGTCACCCAGCTAGTCACAAACCGATGTTTCTTGACGCGTCCCTGGTTTATAAAGAGTTTCCTAAGCTTCAGGACGTGATCGGCCTGATCCTGAGATACCACCTCTTCGGACTCATTCTGCGCCAGCGGGTCGAAGCTATCTACTGATGGGACTTTGGGTAGAATCCAAAGAAATGGTGTTGGAGTCGGCTTAGTGTGCATGAGAGCCTGCAGAATGCACCGAGATTCGCGTTCTGTTGCCTTTGGTTTCTTGTCCCGATAAAAAAGCGAGTGGAGTTCCTTCGCATCCTTCGAGAGTTGGACGTGTGTTTTCCTCGATTCCAAAAAGCGAATCAGTCCTGGTTCTAGCGCCTTGTTTAAGGCCTCAATTTGTTTATCAATGGCATTCTTATGCTTCTTTTCATCTACTATAGTTGTGTACCCTTCCATTTCATGGTACAATATGCACCTTGTTCTTTCCTTTTTTTCCTCAATTTCGCTACTTTCTTCCAAGCTCTCGTACGTTTCAAAATCATCGTCCTCATAGGACCTAAAGAAAGCCGCGTACTTTTTGTTTTTTCCTATGTATTTCTTGTTCTTTGAAATCCCCCTCGATCCCCATTGAACGCAGCGCTTAGGATTCGCGAAAAGTTCTGGGGGATACCTGTTTTTTTGGGGGCTACCAAGAGAGCACAGTCTACTTACCTTGCATCTGTTTGATGGACTGCACCTTGCTCGGTTCCCTACCGCCACGTTGACCACGTCCGGCCACAGGCCTCGGCCAGTATCTTCCGCGCTTCGCTGTCTTCAGCTTTTCACGCTTGGCCCGGGCGGCGATGATGCGAGCTTGGGCTGCGGAATGGGCTTTACACCTTTCAGGATACGCGAAGCGGGCAAGAGAAACACTGTAACCTACCCGACGTCGATGGTCGAGAATCCTCCTCCTTCTGCGACTCCTCCGTCGGGCTCCTGAAGTCATAAGAAGACTCGCTCCGATCTTCGTGGAACTGCCTGAAGACGGTGCGGCCATCAAACAGGGGAATGAGTTCCGGGGCTGCGCCTGGAGTTCCGACTGGAGTGCAGGGTCGTGTGGGCCCATTCTCAACCCCGACAGAGGTGTTGCTGTCAGGAGTGAGTGTGATTGTGGAAGGATAGCGGCCGAGATCCCCGGAGCTCTGACTGCAGCCTGTAAGTTCAGTCGCGAATGAGTACGTATGTGTCCTTGTGTCTTAGATCACTTACCGCTTGTGGAGCTATCGTCACTGCAAGGTGTCGATACACTGGAACTGCCAGTGTTCTGGTTACTTGAGCCGCTACTGGTGCTGGGTCCTTCACTCGGCTGATCCCCGCTGCCATCATCGAGTGCCTGTCCATCTCCCTGTCCCTGACTGCCACCCATTGCCTGTCCTAGTCCCTCCGCTTCCCCATACTCACGTCTGTCCTGGCCCTCTCCAGGTTGTTGTTTGTCACCCTCTCCGGTATTGGGGGTATCCCCACAATTCTCGCCACGTTCTGATGCTCGTTCCGGTGGGGTTTCTTCGCGCACCTTGTTGGCACGGAACTTCTCGATGTGTTCCATGCCGAACTCGCAATCCAAATCAATCTCCAATGGTAGTTCCAGATAGGTTGTCTCTCGCAAGGGCGGGGCAGTATCCTTGCGTTTAGTCAACTTTTTGGGTTCTGCGAAAAATTTTGTTTCAAATTCGTTTTCAATTTAGTCCGTATCTCAGTCGAGGAGCTTACTCGAAGACTGAATTATCGGCTTGGAGTCTCTGTCAGCCGAACGATTCCCATTGACAGCCCATCTGGCACGGCCTCCTTGATCCCGGGCCAGGGGCTTGACCGTAGCCTGGCTCTGACCCAAGGACCTGACTTTGGGCACAGTTCCCGTGTACTTCTCGACTGGCTTTGGCTCTTCTTCGTGCTCCTGCTCTATGTTCAAAAAGAGCTCCATCTGCAGCACCAGACTGTCCACCAGGGTGAATATATCTGGTCGGATTGAAACATGTTACTACTACTCCTCAGACGACCCAGCTCTCCCGCCACAACTCACACTTGACGCGGCACGCGGGCGTCTTGCCGATGAACTCCGGGTAGAGGAAGGGCGTATCGAAGCCCTGGCCCATCCATTTGGGAGGCGTGCAGCGGCCCACAGTGACCGGAATGTTGAAGGAGTAGGGCGGCGTGAGGGACAAATCCTCCAGACGGGGAGGGCTGGCAGGCGAGTCCTCCGCCAGGGTCGGCAGAACCTGCCGCATCCGCTTTGAAGCCTGTAGCTGTAGATTGGGGAGGATTGTCAAGGGAAGGTGGCCCACTTTCGAGGGCCATTCTTAGGAGAATTTGGAATTTTGGAGGAATTTCCAGAAGAGAGGCCGAAAATTTTGAGTTCAGATGGCATCGGGAGAACCGGAAGAGAAGAAACATTTTCTTGGGGAGAGATCCGAAAGTGTAGAAAAGTTACCTCCAAGGCCCTTGCATTGAACTCCTCCAAGTCATTATCCGGTTCCTGCTCGATATCAGTTTCCGGCTCCGTCTCTGGCTCTGGCTCCGTCTCTGGCTCTGGCTCTGGCTCCGGCTCTGGCTTCGGGTCCTGCTCCGGCTCTGGCTCAGTCTCCTGCTCCGTCTCTGGCTCTGGCTCCGGCTCTGGCTCCTGCTCCGGCTCTGCCTTCGGGTTCGGCTCCGGCTCCTGCTCCGGGTCTGGCTCCGTCTCCTGCTCCGGCTCCGTCTCCTGCTCCGGCTCTGCCTTCGGGTTCGGCTCTGGCTCCTGCTCCGGCTCCTGCTCCGTCTCTGGCTTCTGCTCTGGCTCCGGTTCTGGCTCCGGCTCTGGCTCCGTCTCTTTCTCCGTCTCCTGCTCTAGCTCCGTCTCCGTCTCAGGTTTCGGTATCATCTCCAGAAGGCTCGTTGACGTCTCCTCCTTTTTTTCCTCCTCTTCGTAGAGACTCTCGCCCTCAAGATCCTCCGGTATCAGATCCTCTCTCCCCAGACCTATCATGGGGCAATGGCTGATTATGAGGTTCTGGAGCAGATGCTGCTCCTCGAAGAGCTGGTGCAGTTGGCTCTCGAGCGCGGCCTCGGGTGTGGAGGCCCGGCTCCGGATCCTTTCCCTGGCCCGCTGCCTCTGACCCGGACGGGGGGTTCGGGACCGGTCGGTGTTCGGCATAGCTGCGGCTGCGGGACTCCGCCTACAATCGATGGGTATTGGCAATTGGTTATTGGAACGTAGGGTATTGGCAATCGATTGCTCCGATGGACCGGCGCAGTAGCAGCCCGAAGGCGGCACCCCACAGGTCGAAAGAGAGCACCTGCTGTCCTGGTCTCTTTTTTTTTCTATCAAGTGTGTATGTATGAGTGTGTGTGTGGCTGCCCACAAAAGTAGGCAACAATACATGTATTCCTGGAAGTTTTTTTCGTAATATTTACCCCAAGAGTAGACCAGGGCAGTTGATGGGTAGAAAGCAAGAACAAAAGACCAGGAACGCAGCATGAAATTGGCAGTCACTGGCCCTCGGTCCATCCTGGTCATGGTCCTGGTCCTGGTGCTGGTCCCCGCCCACGCCCCCGGCCAACTGCAAATTGGGCTGCGTTTTATTTAGTTTTCGTTCTCTGGTCAGCCAGGCGATGTCAATTTCCGCAACAGCCCAACAGGATACAGCCAGAGAGAAATACCTAAAAATTGGTCTGTATCCTGGTATACCACCATATGGCTAGCTAGCATGGCTTTAAGAGTCCATGGTTGCTCCTCCCATCCTCCGATCGATGCTTTCCGCTCTTCCGAGTGGCGTTTCAAGTGCTGAATTAGACATTTATCGCCGCTCTCGTGTTCACTCAACCCATAATAGCCACCGACTAATAACTAACGTGGCCAGCTCAGCCCGAACCCTGACCCCTTGCGCAACATCAATTCTCCCTAGACACTATCAAGCCCCCCCCCCCCATCCCCCCACCCGACAAAGTTAGTTTACAGCAAAAGTTTAGCATAAAAAACAAACGCCAAATGGAAACAAAAAAATATAAAAAAAAGGCCAAAAAGCACATCATAAAAAATAGTGTGGAAATAAAGCAGGGGGTATGGAGAGGGGGTTCGGTCAAAAAGCTAGGGGAGGAGCCATGGGAAAAGCTGCACTGTATCCGAAAAAAAAACGCGGGGAACTGGGAGCTGGGAAATTCGTAAAGAAAAACCCAGGAGAGGGAGAAAAAAAAATTGGTTTGCAATGCATTCCATTTTTTTTTGTTCCTGGCATGCCAGCTTCACGCGAAGCTTTTCATTTGGTCCTGGCAGCCATTAGAGCAAAAATCAGGAGCAGACAACGAGGCGGATGAAATGGGAGGGGGGTGGATAGGGGGGCAGGAGCAGAATTTCCACACATGTGGAAATTGTGCGCGTTTTGCAGTTTTTTAATTGACCAACAAATTTATTTGATTCGTTAGCAACGCGAATATATATTCTCTTCCACTATCCTGGCTTCTACCTCCCCCCCCCACGAATAATAGTTTGGTCCTTCTTCAAGAGGTCCTTTACTGCGACTAAAGCTAATGCTCTGATGTCCGATTTAAAACGTCCAATAAGCCCAAAACACAAAGCCTACACAACCGCCTACAAAAACCCCTCTGGGCTGGAGCTCCCACGGACGAGATTCGAGTCCAAGGGTAATTGAAATTCAAACGAGGGGGGGATGGAGAGCAGAACAAGGACACGCACAGGACAGGACTCTTGTCTCTTGTTGTTTCTAAGGATTACATATTGGTAAACAACGATTACAACAACCAAGAACGGTCCGATGGTAACGATAACTTATTGTGCTACAAATTGCTTTGTTTGCCCGGCCGACGCCCCTGGATTTTGGATTTTAGATGACTGAGAGGGAGAGGGAGAGGAGCAGGGGCTGGGGCTGGCTGTTTGATTTGATTGTTGACTTTATTGGTCAGTGCGGCATGTTGGAGCTTTGGTTTGCTTGGCCCCCGCACCCACTGATACTTAATCTATGATTACAATCAATTAAACGCTACACTCGACTAATTTATTGTCGTCGGAGTCTCAGTCTCAGTCTCCAGATCGGACAAAGACAAGTAGCCGCTCGCGTATATAGAGTATACCTCGTAAAATCATCAAATTGGTCTTTCTACCAAAGCCCCCGCCCCGCTCCCCCTTAACCAGCCCCCCTCCGTTCTGCCAATAAAAATTTTTTGGCAGCAAAAAAAAAAAACAAAATCAAAGCGTCGGAAGCACTTTGTCGGCGGCTGGCTTGTTACTTTTTCGGATTCTGATTCTGATTTGGATTTGGGATTGGGATTGGGATTGGGATTGTTGTGTTGCCTTATCTTTATGGCTTGATCTTGCTGCGGGCTGTTCTCTTTCTGGCCTGGCTGTCTGGCTGGCCCTCTGGCCAGTTTGGAGCACAAATCCCAAGTGAGAGTTTATATCAATGCCCCCAGGCTGTGGGCTGTACAAGTCAATAAAATATGGTTATGAAGCAGGGAGTATACCCTTTCAAGGGATAGGGTAACCTCGCCAGGCGACCTTGAATTCTAAGCCAGCAATACTGCACCAGAAAACTCAATCAAATCCAAAACACATGCAAATGCCAGGGACAGGAACAGGACCAGGACCAAGGGAGAGGACATCAAAAATTCCTTTTAATGATGCAATTGGAATTTGATGACTCGGAAAACTGAACAGCGGCGGCATCCATCGTCCATCGTCGCAATCAATGCAAGGACACTTTCGACCAGGATTCAACCCGGATTCAGCCATCCAGCCAGGTAAATTGCAACCAATAATAATGAATAATTGAAAATCCAATCAAACACCAAATGAAAACGGAGGCCGCCAGTCTCTCACACTGTCAGCAGACACGGATGTGGCACGGTGGCACGGTCCGGCACATATGGCTGGAGTATGAGTGTGTGTCCTTTGGTGGCTGGTGTTGATTTTGCCGGCTTTATCGAAGGACATTAGCAAACGTTGTTGGGTCGTTCGGGGCCCTCGCCCTGCAAATGCAATCAAACACGCCGGCCCCACCAACATCCAACATCCTGGCTGCAGGATGTAAACCAAAGCAACCTGCATGGATGACACCCCAGGGACAAAAGTCAATGAATGGTAATAGGTGTCGACATGGCCTCCTGCCTCCCATTGCCAGTGCCAGGGCCAGTGGCAGTGCCAGTGCCTGTGTTTTGGGCGAGAGGCGTGGCATGGCGTGGCGTATGTTTGTTGTTTTTGCTGATTGCCACTTTCGGCAATAGATCGAATGGACTTTGCTTTCAGGCCAGGCACTGGGAATGGGAATGGGACTAGGACTGGGAATTAGAATGACACTTGGCGGCCCTCTTACCTCGCAAAAGGAGCAGCATTCATTAATTGCCAGTTGAATTGAGTTTGACTTGAGTTCTTCTTTCCAAGAAGAAAGAGCAGCTCCTGGCTCGAAGGACCACCCCATCCCATTTGTGCCACATCCTGTTTTGATTTAATAATTTCATTTTTTAGCAATTCTTTCGCTGAAAAAAAATAAACAAACAATCAGATTCAGAGGCTGGCACATATTGAAAGTGCCCCCGGGGGTCTACCAGCCCTCCTCCGCTGCGACCCGCGTCCTGTGCCAGAAGACAACACACCCACTCGTATTTATGATTACAATTAATTACAAGCAAATATGCCTCAAATTGAGTTTCTGAGTCTCTCAGTTCGGTTTCGGTTTGGGTTACGGTTTGGGTTTCGGTTTTCTGTCTGTCGAATGTTGTTCAATTACCGTGTCCCGCTTGTTTTTGTTTTGGTTTGTCTGCCAGCATTGACTCCCATACTCCCATATTGCCACACTGCCACGCCTCCTTTTCCATCACGGCTACAAAATGACAACCGCGAGCGTTTTCGGCTTTCCGCGAAACTGCAATAAAGGGAGCTAGATGGATGGATGGATGGATGGATGTGCGGCATCAACATGTTGCACAAATATAAACATAAATCAATTAACATTTTTCGACCAGCCACGTCTGCACTGCCAGAAATCGGGAGATGGTACTATGCCAGTATCATGGGAGAACTTTACCCATTTTCTCTCACTGTTTGGTGTGGAAATTGCAAAACAGGATGTGGTGGCCCAAAATTTCGACGAGGCGCCTCCGGGTGCCATTTTCCGAATCGACAGTTTTGCAGCTGCCGTCAGTGGGTGGTGGGAGTGTTGCCTACTTTTAGGCGCAGCAAGCTAAATGACTTTTACAGGTCTACAGGAGTGGATCAGGACCTTCAAATGGGCCATCAATGGGTATCTCACGTAAGACCAGATAGTCTAGTCTACCACCATATGGAGTATATATGTATATGCCGACAATGGCCAGGCCCAACAGTCGAACTGGAAACCAAAAAACTTGTTTCATAAATTTTCTATTCAAAATGTAATTAAACCCTTGCCCGGCTCAGCTGCTCATCTAATTACAGGGAATGTCAGCCAGCCCATGACCATGTCCCCAAAAAAGGATGCCCAAAAAGGATACAGAAGGATACGCAATATACTCGATAATTGCAAACGAAAACCAGAACACCCAGAAGCAGCCCCAGAACACCCCAGAAAATAAAAGCCATCGTGCTTGGTCTACTTCCATAAATATCTTCAAAGTCATTAAATTTCACACATGTTGGCGGTGCGCAGAATTGTTTTAATTTTAAAATTATTGTCATTAATTGATTTTTGATACAGCCGTAGAGCTATAGAACTGTAGAGTTATATACATAGAGCTGGGGGACCCGCCCATAAATCTCCTCGTCCGTGTGTGTAAATCCGTAAGGGTTTCGGGGGTTGGAGCCCCTGCCCCCACCCCCTTACCAAATAATCACTCGACTCCTGAATAAAAGGGGTACTAAAAAGGGGTGGTGGCAGATGTGTCGACTTGGGCCACTAGGTGGAGAGGGGGGGAGAGGGGGTAGAGGGGCACTGGGGTGGCTAAACGGCCACGGCTCGAATATTGAGACCATTATTTTTGTTTAATTACGTTACGGGCGTTAATGGGCCGAAAGCTAGTGCTTCCAAAGGCACTAGATCTAGTCTTTCAAGAGACACATTAATTCCCAGCCAGAATTTGAATTTCTTTTTTTTTTTTTTTGTTGTTTAATTGAATATGGAGTTGCAGTGGAGAGTCATGGGATTTGGAATAGATAGGAGGTATTGAAGAAACTACATGTTGTA